CCAGGATCTTCTTCCAGGTCTCCCATGGCAGTGCAGGGTCCCAAGGCTTTGGGCCATCCTTAACCACTTTCCCAGGCCACAAACAGGGAACTGGGAGGGAAGCGGGGCTGCCAGGACATGCACCGACGCCCATATGGAATCTTGGCACATGCAAGCGAGGACTTTTAGCCATTAGGCTATCGTGCCGGGCCCACAAAGTATTTCTTTATGTGAAAGAAATTGTCATATCCAAAGGTAACATATATTCTTCCAATCTAACCATACATGTTCAGTACTTTTCCCCTCAGCTTCTGGGTTCTGCCTGCTCAAGAGTGAAGGAGGGTGCATGGACATGGGCTCTGCAGTTTCCCTGCCCTGTGTTCAGCTGTCCAACACAGCCTTCCTCAGATAGGAAAGGGAAGAGAGGAAGAGGAGGCCCAAAAAGAGCCAAAGGTTTTCTTGGTCTGTTTTTAATTGTACCTTGGTTTTATGGTGTGTGTTTAATAGGCTTACGATTTCATTTCAGACTGGCGCTTACCTCGCAAAGGCGTTTACGCCACTGAGTCTGCTCTTCCTCTGCCTTTTCCGATGGCGTGATTTATGTTTAATACAACTCAACAGACTAAAGTCATATGGGAGGGGCGTGAAGGCAGACAGCCAGCTGGTGATGTGGACTGCAGCCAGGATGTGACAGCGAGATGGTGCACTTCCTTATTTCCTGAGCAGCCTGCCTAAGTCGGCCTTTAGATCAGTGAGATGATTTTCCTCACTTTTTAACACAGGAAACAAATCTAGAAGAAAGTTTGGTTACCCGCCGCCCCAGGGTGAATCTCTGTAGTGAAAGTGGTGCCTTCATGAATGTGTGCCCCAGAGAAGGTTCAGGGAAGGGCCGCTTCATTTTCCCGGGGATCCTTGTTGAATGATGTCACCGGATCCCTGAAGAATGGACCCTGCCATCTAAAAACAGGCTTTATTCTTCTCCCTGCATGTGAACGAGGGCGGAGGGGTTCACAGACCAGGAGCATGACCTTCAGAAGGAGGGCATTTTCAGGGGATTTGCAAGGATGTGAGGGGCCGTCTCCAAGCCTCCTGGGAAGTGGCCTACCATGGGCCTCTGCCTCACTCTCTGGAGGTGGCACAGGGGCCAGGTGTCCCAAGAGTGTGAAAAACAAATTTATGGATTTTTAAAAACACATTGTAGTATCTCTTCTAGGATGAGAGCAGTCTCAAAAGGTTTTGCTATGTGTAACCACCAACTATCTTCTTGAGAGTACCCAAAGTTAGAAAAAGTTCTCCATAAATTATGTAGCCAGTCTCTGTAGCTATCCTGACTTGAGCAGCTCAGTAAGTTTTCCAGTTTTAATTTATAAACCAGGAAGCATGCATCAGCAAAACAATAAGCTGGCAGCTTTACCCAATGCTACCTCCTCCTAGGCAAGTCTTAATTCTAAATGTAACTTGCCTGGAAAACCACTGCAGAAGGGATCCTTCCCAATAGCCCAGGATTTAATGCAAACACCAGGTCATCACTGTCTCAAGTGCAAGTTCAGCCCAGAGGCTGTCCTTTATCATGTGAGTGACACAAAGAGAGCTTAGACTACAACTCTCAATAGGAACTGTTTGGCCATTGCACAATATCCTGCGACAGCTGTGGTGTGAATGAAAGAATAATACAGAGCAAAGTAGTCCAGATAAAAAAACATTCCTAAACCACATTTCAAAATAGCTCACTCATGTCACTTTAGGTGTGTGTCTGCAAGAACAGGTGGACTGTATGGGTCTCTGTGGTCACCTGTCACATCTGGTGTCATCTTGATGGCAGAGCGGTTCTGCACATGCAGTCTTCTGGTCCCATAGCTCAGACAGGAGGGTGTGACCGGCAGCCGGCAGCAGCTCAGAGACCGACGGACTGCTCTGAGAAATGGTTTTGAAGTACATCTGTGAAACTCGTGGTCCTATGGGTCCCAGCCTTCCTTTGAGGTATCACTTTACAACTTCGGTTTTTATTGCTAGAGTATTTTTCAAAAGCTTCTCTTCTCAGGCTAAATTAGGAATTTCTGTTCCTTATTTGAGTTCCAAGAATTATGCCTTTCCTGCCCTCCGCCCAAATTGGAAGATATAAACCGTGGGAAAAAGTGTCTTTACAAACTGCATTATCTGACTTGGTTTATTTAGCATGTTCAGAAAGATGTTCACATGCAAGGAATCCTATTGCTATTAATGCTGTCCAGGCTACAACCGTGGTCCCTTCCATCCCCCCATTCCTGCCCCTCAGCTTCTGGGTTCTGCCTGCTCAAGAGTGAAGGAGGGTGCATGGACATGGGCTCTGCAGTTTCCCTGCCCTGTGTTCAGCTGTCCAACACAGCCTTCCTCAGATAGGAAAGGGGAGAGAGGAAGAGGAGGCACCGTGGAGCCTGCTCAGTTCAGGGACTTTGCAGTGTGCGCATGCCTGCAGTCCTGCCACTCCAGGCCCCCTATGAGCTGACCAAAACGGGGCAGAGCTTCCACCCTGCAACCTTCACCAACTTGGTTTACGCCTGGGAAGGATATTGGTGCTAATTTTAGACAGAGACCAAGATGCACAAAGGACAAGCATCTTAAAGCATTTTTTTTGGAGCCAAGAGCAGATTTCAATTCCTTGATTCACTGCTGCGCTTTACTCCAAACCACACAATTGTACCCAAGTGAATTGTTGTTAGGACTGGTGTCTTGGAGGAGACAACTGTGTGTAATTGGTAGCTCAAAGGCACTTCACTTGAGAAAGCGTGGGGTCCTAGATGCTTCAAGAAATAACTGACAAGACTGAGGCAAGAATGAGTCAGGCTTTTGTGAGTCACTCAGCGTTGAGCTTAGTGTAATGACAGACCGACCCCCTTCAGCCTTGATTTTTTTCCATCCTAGGAAAACCAGAGGCTTAAGGCCATGATGGCTTTCATATGGGAATCAAGGGGTAGACAGGGCCCTCCCTCATAACCTGCCACAGACCAGTGTTCCTAACGGTGCTCTTCCACTCCTCTGCCCAAACCCCATGCAGACGGGGTGCTGGTTTGTTCAACATTCCATTCCTGGTGGTCCCTCCCTCCCCCACAGGGTGCAAGGGATGAGGCCAGCCTTTGTGAACAGCAGCTGGCTTCCCAAGTATCACACATCATCCAGATCACCTGGAGAGGCTTTTCAGTAGCCAAGTGTGAATGTCATTAAGACGGAAACCGGCAGATGCTGCCTGCGAAGCCCACGTCCCATAACACAGTGCCTGGGTTCAAGTTCCAGCTTCCCTCCCACTTCCAGCTTTCTGTTAATATGTACCCTGGCAAGCAACAGGTGACCTATGTTTTCAAAGCTCATTCCCATCCACCCACATGGGAGATCTGGACTGAGTTCTCAAATCCTGGGTCTGAGCGGGCCCAGCCAAGATGAGTATTTGGGAAGTAAACCAGTAACTGGGAATTCTCCTTCAAATAAATAACAAAAATGGAGCAGTGTATACACACATTAAAATCAGATGTCTCCACACTTGCTACTGTGTGCTGTTATTCCAAGTTTTCCCCCTGTGCCACATACACATATTGGTTTGCTGGAATGACAGAAGGCTCACCCAAAGCTTGCTCTACAGCTTGGTTTTTCCACAGCTTGTTTTTAATGATACACAATGGACTTCCAGAGCAGGTGTTTGGCCTAGATTAGAATGTCTGTATCTCATACTGGAATATTTGGGTTTTACTGCTGGATCCTCTAATTCCAGCTTCCTAATGTGCACAGTGGGAGGCAATAATGACTCAAGTTGCTGGGTCCTGCCACCTTGTGAGAAACCTGCACTGAATCCCCAATGCCCACCTTCGGGCGGGCTCTGTCCCAGCCACTACAGGTCTTTGGGAAGTCAACCAGTAGATGGGCACTCTGTTCCTAAAATAATAAAAAATGGGATTAAAAAATGAAATAGGCTCCCTTATACATCCATCCTGGTTTGTGAAAGTGACCACGCAAATGCCTATAGGGGTTAGGTAGATAGCACATATGAGTTAAACAGATCTGGTGAGAACTTCAAGGGGGTTCTCCCAGCAACAAAATCAGATGCCACCAACTACTGCTACTTAGGAATGTGGGCTCAGAGCTCCCAACGCTTGAATTTTTAAAATTCTGGGGTCTTGTACAATGGCTCAGTGGCAAAATCCTCACTTTGCATGCACCAGATTCTCATATAGGCACCGGTTCATGTCCTGGCTGCTCCATTTCTCTTCCAGATCCCTGCCGGTGGCCTGAGAAAGCAGTAGAGGATGGCCCAAAGCATTGGGACTCTGCACCCATGTGGGAGACCTGGAAGAAGCTCTTGACTTCAAATTGGCTCAGCTTCAACTGTTGCAGGGACTTGGGGAAAGAACCAGCAAACAGAAGATCTTTTTCTCTTGTTCTCTCTATAAATTTGTCTTTCCAATAAAATATTTTAAAAGCTTGCACTCTTCAGATGTTTAAATATTGGTAACTAATTCAAATAAAATGCTGGGTGTACCAGTCTCCAGTCAAAACACGGCCTGGCCTTCGTGCCACCCTCTAAGCCCTCTCCTGCAGTGTAGACAAAATGTTGCCAGTGTAAATACCACCCACTCAACCTTTCTCCCACTGTGATGAAGGCTGATGTTGCAGGTGCTTTTTGGAACATTTTCAGTGAGCTTGTACAACTACTGCTACAAGTGTGGGCTCCAAACTAACCCATGTCTGGTCCCATGAACAAGATAAAAGAGGGTCTTTCTCTGGGATGCTCTAAATGGATTCCCCATGACAGCATATGGCAGGGTATTTCTAAGTTCCCAGGTGATTTCTGCACATGCAGAGGCCCCAGGATGCCACTGTTGCACCTCATCAGCGAGCCACTTCCAGGGAGTTATACAGGAAAACAGTGAACACCATGATATGTGCTTCTGTGCTATCAACCCTTACCTGACTGCAGCCTCTGTGAAAACATGACAAGGGCTCTGCTCTGGCGAGAGGTCCAGTGGGGGCGGGACAATAAATAAACTGAGCTATGAGGCTTCCAGCTTTTATTGGCACAGCCAACAAAAAGGCGTGGGGGCCACTTCTGAGCAAGAGTCTGTGTCCCAGTGAGGTATCCAGTGTTATGGTTAACACGCCACTGAACCAGAAAGGCTGAGTCCCTGAGGCACACGAAGCCAGGTCCCTGGGAGGCCCCAAGACCCAGTTGGGGAACCTGCTGCCCTGACAGCCCATGAGGCAGAGGTGGTCCTGGACTGGGGGATGGGCCTTATGGCGTGGTGACCATAAAGACAGGGAATAGGTCACACTTCTCAGGCTGGGCATGGGCCGAGGAGGTGTTACAGCAGCAGCACTGCGGTCCCCTCTTGGTCTGTAACTGCAGATGCAGCTTCCGCCTAGGCCAAGGTGGTCACAGCACATGGTCATCAGGGTGGTAGAGTTCACTCATCAGGCGGTAGATGTAGGAAGGGGCATTGCCCCCAATGTTGGAGATAAAGAGGGTAATGAGCTCTGGGGGGACGTAGTCGAACACAGGGCAATGGATGCTGACCTTCTCCAGGATGTCCCCTGCAAGGCAATCCAATGTCAAGAGGACATTCGGGACCTCATATGAGAAATAAGTAGCAAATCGAGTGCAGACTCAATCATGCAGGCAGATGAGCTCCCCCGGGCAGGGATGCCAAATGTCAGCCAGAAGAGGCGACTCCATATCCCACCAGTCCCCTCTTCAGACTCTCCAGTGCTTCTGCGTAGCCCTCACAGTCAAACTCCAGCGTCAGCCCCAACTCCAGCCCTCCTCCCATACCAGAAGTCTAATCTCTCCCACTCTCCTCTGGCCAGTGACCACCATCTTCCAGCTGGCTGAGCACACACCCATCCTGGGCTTCACAGCACTACTTGCTGGCTCTGCACCTGCTGGGTTCTACTCACTCACGGACTTACTGAATGTTCTCCACAACCTTCCCAAAGCTAAGGCACTGCCCTGTCACTTTCTGTCACATCACCCATGCTTGTTTTCTTCTTCAAACACCCCATGAACTCAATGTTTTCTCATCTGTCTTCCACAAGACAATGGAATCTCTGTGGGAGCAGGGCCTTACCCATTTTAGTTATGGTCAAATGCCCAGTGCTCACAGTAGTGCTGGTTAGAGTGGGCACTCAGTAAGAGTGCCTAAAGAATGAACGTTTAAATCAAGAGCAGGGCGATTCAACTTCTCAGGAGAACAAGGACCCCAGGCCCTGTGCCGTGCTCTCAGAGGCGGCAGCAGGTGCACCGGGCTGCCCGCACAAGAAGCCAGAGAAAAGGATACAGGCCACAGGCAACCATGCTGAGTGGGAACATTCAGAGGCCGCCTCCCTTGGCAGCAAGTTCACTGAAGTGACTCCTACAGCCAAGAACAAGTACGTTTTCCCATTCAGTTGTTGCCTGTGTTGCCAACCATGTGCAAAGCCACACCCAGTCAGTCTGGATGACATAACTCACTATGGCCTCACATATCTATCTCAGGGGCTAAAGCAGGTCCCTAAGCTCTGTAAACTGCGAAGAGTACAGTGTCTACTTCTACTGAGGGCCCGACCCATCACACGCAGTTCCCGTACCTTCCGTGAATGGCAAGACCTCTTCAGGAGCCACAAATTTGTGAAACGAATCTTCTTCATTGGGGAACTATGGGGAAAATTTATTTTAATAGAGCCACAGCAATTTCAAACCTGGATACAAATCCAGGAAAATTAAAACCTGCATCTACAGCGGAAACAACCCAGACAGGTTCACAATGACATTATACAGAAAAGGCAAAGGGTGGAACCAGCTCTTGGCGGGCTGGACCAATCAGCATATACCCACACAACAGAAAGGCTAAGCCTTCACGAAAGGCAGTTGTGACACAGTACAACACGATGTTGTATTGAAAACACTACACTAAGTGGAAGAAGTCAGATGCCAAAGGCTACAAATGGCATGATTCTTTACATAAAATATCCCAGAATGGCAAATCCATGGAGATGGGAAACAGACGAGTGGTTACCAGAAAACAGCGAGAGGGAGAGCAGGGGAGTGACTAGTTAATGGGTTCAGGGTGTTTTCAGAGATGACAAAGTGCTGAAGCCAGAAGAACGGTGGTTGCACAATGCTGTAAAAGCACTGAACACCACTAAATTGCACATCTGAGATGGCTAATTGTACCCTGTGTGAATTTCATCTCAATTAAAAAACAGGGAGACCTATAAATAGGCTCAAGTTTTCCAAGCAAATTGCTCCCATCGCTGATGAATGGCTCTCCACTTAGTACTGCTACATTTAAAGCACAGAACCTCAAAAAACGATACACAGAACCCAGTCTGTGGGGGCAGATGCAGGAGCTCAGTAGGCTAACCCTCCACCTGCTGCGCCCAGATCCTATATGGGCACCATTCTGGTCCTGGCTGCTCCACTTTACATCCAGCTCCCTGATTATGTCCTGGGAAAACAGTAGAAGGCAACATAAAGCCTTGGGACCCTGCACCCATGTGAGGAGACCAAGAAGCTCCTGGCTCCTGGCTTCAGATCAGCTCATCTCCAGCCACTGCAGCCACTTGGAAAGTAAACCAGTGGATGGAAGATCTTTCTCTGTGTGTCTCTCCTCCTTTCTATAAATCTGCTTTTCAAGTAAAAATAAGTAAATGCTAAAAAACAAAACAAAAATAAAAATCTGTGAATCTGTAGTCCTAGCTTCTTTTTTTTTAAGATTTATTTTTAGTTAAAAGGAAGGTTTTACAGAGAGAAGTAGAGAGAGAGATTTTCCATCCACTAGCTCAGTCTCCAAATGGTCACAATGGCCAGAGCTGAGCTCACCCAGAGCCAGGAACCAGGAGCTTCTTCCAGGTCTCCCACGTGGGTGCATGGGCCCAAGGACTTGAACCATCCTCCACTGTTTTCCTGGGCCACAAGCAGAGTGCTGGATCAGAAGTGGAGCAGCTGGAACTATAACCAGTCCCCAAATGGGATGCAGGTAATACTGTCCCTGTGGTCCTGGTTTCAACCTGCTTGGCACATTCAGAAGCAGGGTGGCAGGCAGTGGCGGTGACTGTCACCAAGGGACTTTTTCGATTACACCTTGTCATCACGTTTCTGTTTTGACCTCCTAGTGCTGGCAGGATAGGCCCACCAGTCATTTTTCCCAGATCCAGCCCTCTGTGGCTCTCTTTAGTTCCCACCGGCTCTAACATAGCGAGTAAATGCAGACCTAAGGCACCCTGGGGTGAGCAGGTTCAAGCCCACGCTCTGGTTTCCTTCCCTCTGCTGGACACAGCCTAGACAGACATCCATACCTGCGGGGACAGCTTGAACATGGGGGCACAGACGATGAGCGGGGTGGAATGGTGCTTGGCTGCCAGCGCCAGAGTGTGGGTGCCTGTCACAGCTCGCAGGGCCCCGTTGGCCAAGATGGTCTTCGTGCCAATGATCACCTTTGGGGACAAGACAAACAATGGGACTGCCTGGTGATAGAGGGTCATCGGCTACAACAGGCAGCAGCTTCAGGCCCCTGCTCCAGTGTTCTGGTGGTCACAAGACAATCCAGGGAAAGGGGTCAAGGATCAGTATCACAAGTTCTAGCTTAAAAGTGATTTCCCTTGGAAAGAGTGAACACACAATGAGACAGAGAAGCATAATACCCACACTCTTGGCCCTGTTTTTTTCTGGAAATCTACAGGCCCTGAGAAGCCAGAAGGTCTGTCATTCATCGCCCACCATCGCCACGTGCTGTGAGCATAAGGAAGGCAGCAGCCCTGCAAGCCAACCCCTGGCACTTGGCATTCATCTCTCGGCTCCACTTCATTCTTGTCAATTCTTTAGCCATTTAGGGCTACTGTGAAAAATGTGACATGGACACAAAGAAATTGAGTTCATACATTTAAAAGACCTAGGTATGGACTTTCAAGAAGTACCACAAATTTTTCTTCTTTTATCATAGATATTATGGGAGGAGTGGGGGAAAAAAAATGTTAATTTTTCAGGAATAAAACCTTCGTGAATTCAGCATCACTGTAAATACCTTGTTACCTCCACTCACCTTGTTGACTCTTGACATGACAGCAAAAATGGCCGCATCCGTCATGACAGTTGTCTCGATGCCTGCTTTGGACAAATTGACGGCCATCTCATGACCCTGTGGTAGGAGGGAAAGGCCTTTGCTGGGAGAATGGGCAGGAGACAGTGAGAGCCCTCGGTCATGCTGGGAGTTGCGGGCACTGTGGCCTGGCACACCTCGCATACTCCCCGGAAGAGAGCAGGCACTCTTTGGAAGGCTGCCAGGAAGCTCAGGGGAAGCTAGTAAATATCTAATTGCCCATGGTGGCTGGGGCAGCCACATAGCTGGAAATACCACTTGTCTGCAGAGGCAAGCACCCCAGGCAAGACAGCTCCTGGCTCCTTTTACAACATCCTGCATCCTTACACGCTCCCTTTTGGAGACCTGTTAGGGATTTCCGGATAGAGTGAGATCACACTTCGGTTATCCTCAAGGACATTCCCCCTGAAAGAATCGACAGTCATCCCTCCTAGGACCCAGCAGCTCACCCGACTTTCCGAAACCAGCATCCCAGAATGGTCCCAGGATGAAAATTCCTTTCCTGTTCTGCTTTGGCACCCCAGCGTCTCACCAGCTCACAGATGGGTTCCAAAGTGGCAGCTCTCCCAGACCCCCTCCCGACTAGTCTTCCTTTCCAGCAATGTCCACAGCCCCTCACCTGGCAGAAAGGAGCGCACTCAGCCACAATAACATGGAATTTTCTCTTCTGGGCAGCCTCCTTCAGGAAGGCCTCCACGGTTCGGGAGAAGCCTATGGTCATGATCACCTCATTGGAGTGGATGTGTTCCAGGGCCTGGGCTGCAATGTTCTCTGTTGTCCCTTCTGCAAAACCAGACATAGAAACAGGCCACGCTGTACCACAAACACACATAATAGGAGTGAGGAGAGGGGACATGTGTCCTTCGGAGACCCTGCCTGCTACACAGACGCTGGTAGCATGGGCTTCAAAGGGGAGCTGTTCCAGTTTGCTAACAGCTTGACTCCTGTGGGACTCTCTGCCTCCCACATTCTTCAGCTCTCTCTCCCAGCAGAGCCCTGCGTTCCCCAACCCCACCATGGGCATTACACCAGCGCCTCACAACTTTCCAAGGAAGCCACAACCCGAGACATCTGGGGGTAAGCCGAGCTTCCCCTATAAGAATGCTTCCATGACACCTGCATTCTACAGGAGGCAGCAAGAGAACAGCTTTAGACACAGGCAGGAACTGACCCAGCTGCCCCTCCCAATCCCGAGGACCCCTGCAGGGTCCCTGGTCCCCAGGACAAGCAGGAGGGTGACAGGATAGGCAAAGGAACTCCCCAAAGTCCACAAGAAATGGACATTAATGTGAAAGCTCTCTTGGCGCAAAAACTTCTGGAAATCTGTAGTTTTCCTATAACTTTCTGAGGACCCCTCGTGTGTATGTATGTGAATGGGTGCGTGTAACATTTCAAGAGGAAGCTTAGTGAAAAGTCTACCAAGCATGGTTTGGTGAGTTCATTTTTTTTTAAAGGAAAATAAGACTCCAGCTGAGTCACGTTCTCTGCTGCTGGGTGTACAGGTGGGTCGGTAAGAGAATGCAGAGAGAACTGGGAGAGCCCTACTGCCCGAGCATCGAGATGGAGGTCAACCTGGGCACAGAGGGTCGGGGTCCCCAAGTCCCTGCTGCCCCATTCAACAACCTGCTGGGGCTGCCCCCTGCTTCCCTCTTCCCCCGATTCCCTCACCTCCCTCAATCCTCCCATGCCTGCTCCGTGCACCTGGCCATCGCGCCCCTCACCCAGCTCCACTAGCAGCTCATTAATGGCTTCAATGATGTTGGACTGCAGCTGCGCATAATGGAAGCTGAAATCCTCGTTCAGGCCTCCGGAGGTCAGCAGTTTGTGCAGGGACTCCTGCTGGTCGCTCTCGTCGCTGCGTCCATGCAGTCTACAGAAGGAGGGCGGAGAGGGAGGCGTGGGGAGGTGGGTACCAGGCACCGCCAGGGGAAGCGGGAGAAGGAGGAGTGGGGAGGTGGGTACCAGGGGCCTCCTGAGGTGTACCAGTGCCACCCGGGGAGATGGGAGAGGGAGATAAGGGCAGGTGGGTACCAGGGGCCGCCAGGGGAGGTGGGAGAGGGAGAATCAGGGGCAGCCAGGGGAGGTAGGACAGGCAGGCGCGGGCAGGTGGGTCCCAAGGGCCTCCCAGCCTCCCGCGGCCGAGTGAGTTCGCACGGGCAGCGTCCCGGAGCTAGCCTCACCTGCCGTACTCCTCGCGGATGATCTTGAGCACCCGGCGTACCATGTTCCCCACCGTGGTCTCGGAGGGCTGCGCGGCCACCATCCTCCTGCCCTCCCCGCGGATCAGCTCCATCAGCTCCCCTGCAGCCCAAGACGCGGAATGTGAGGCCTGGGCGACCCTCAGCCTCGCGGTAAGGCAGAAAACGGGGCCGGGCACCGAGTAAGGCTGCGCCCATCTCACCCGCATTGCTCCAGCGGTGTTCCGTGATGATCCGGCGCAACAATCCTAGGGTCTCCCGGGCCATGTCCTCCGAGCTGCGCTGCCCGCCGCCTCGCTTCAGGCTTTCCACGAAGCCCTCGATCCGCTCGGACAGTTCCGAGTCCTTCTCCGCGGCTCCCGGCATCTCCACCGCAGCCACCTCGCCGGGCCGGCGAAACCCGCACCTGTTCCGAGACCGTGGAGGATACACTTCCGGGGCGGACGAGGCAGATTTCCGCTCTGCCGAAAAACTCAACTTTGAGTGACGGCAGGCCACGCCCCTCACTCCTCTGTCCCACCCCTCCGTCTGTCTGAGCCAATGAGACGGGAAGCTCGCGGCAGAGAAACGGAAGTGGGTTTCCCTGCTCCGATGAGGTGGCCCAGTCAAGCCTCCGGAGTGTGGCTGGTCCCGTTGCCATGGGAACAGCCAAGTCTACACCTCTGGCTCTGCCAGCGAGGGCTGAGTGGGCTCCCAGAGTTCGCGCTCTTTCTCTCTCGCTCTGTCCAGGTCTGCAGCACCTAAAGCTTGTGTCATGTAAGTAAAGTCTTGCAAACCAAACCCAAGCATACATTAAACACAGAATTTAAACCAGGAATTCAAAGCTGGTTCGATACTTGTAAATCTTTCAAGGTAATACGTGAACGATGTAGGAAGTAAAGCTGCCTCAGCATTCCAGTCAGTGCAAGAAGCAGCATTTGATGAAATTCAACAGCCGTTCGGGAGGAACACTCTGAAAGACACCAGGGAGTATTTTCAGTCTGTCCAAGTGCAGCTGCCCAGGCGTACTCTTGAAATCAGCCGGGTTGATTTGGGGTGCAATTATTTGTTTATGTTAAGATTTATTTGTTTTTATTGGAAAGGCAGATTTATGGAAGGAGAGACAGAGAATCTTCCATCACTGGTTCACTCTAAGTGGCCACAACAGCTGGAGCTGAGCCAATCCAAACCCAGGATCCAGGAGCTCTTTCAGGTCTCCCATGCAGGGTCCCAAGGCTTTGGGCTGTCCTTGACTGCTTTCCCAAGCAGGGAGCTGGATGGAAAGTGGGGCAGCTGAGACAAGAACTGACATATGTGGGATCCTGGCTCATGCAAGGCGAATATTTACACACCAGGCCCTCACACTGGGCCCTTGGGTGTTTTTTAAACATGTGGTTTCATCAGGGTCTCCAAGGTATCATCAAATGACCATCGCCTATCCCAGGGTGCTGATGTGCTTTGACAACCGGAAGCAGCGCCCTCCCCCTCCTCACCTGCAGTGAGGGAGAAAAAAAAATAAAACTCAAACATGTGTCCCACCTACCTTCCTCTGTAACCTGAACCTTCTCACCCAGAATCAGAGGCTCTCAACTATGTAAACTATAGTAAAAAGAAAATAAACAATTTTAAAATAATAAAATATAACATGTGGTTTGTGTATTTAAATAAAACAATACTAACACATCCTTGTCTGCTAAACACCATTTTGAATGATATGCCTTTAAATATATATAGATTTGTAAATCCATATATATTATGTTTAAATATACTTTGTATATATATTAACAATCCCCAAACAGCATACAGTTTAGTGTTGCTTGTTTTTGAGAGTTTTTCTTTCAACAAATGGTATTGTGATTTTCTAGAATATTCCTAGAATTCACACGTTGTTCCATGCCTCTGTAGTTCTCTTTGCGCTCCTGGCATGTGAACACACCACAAGGACATGTGACATGTGCATTTTCCTTCAGGAGACATTTGGGTTGTTTCCAGTATTTTTTTTTTTAGGGGGCAAGCATGAGTGAGTATAAACAATAACTCTACTTTTGTGTATGTTGGCGTGTCTGTATGTGGAACAGCTGGGTCACGGACTAAGTGAATGTCCCACATGGTGGCTAGATGTCCTCTTCCAGGGTGGTTGGCCTAATGGGTACTCCCTGCAGCCACGCTGAATTCTAGCTGATCTGTATCACTGGCATCATGAAACGTTACCAAGTATCTTCTTCTGGGTAGCGGGTAGGCATACAGGAATATTCTATGTGGCTTAATTTGTATTTTCATGAATACCAATCAGGTGTTTCCTTTTCTTCACATGTCTGTTGACCTTGTAATGTGGGGTGTGTGTGCATCTGATAGTGTCTTTTGCTTACATTCTTCTTGATTTTTAGAAAATCTTTTGCTAGTAAATTCATAGGAGTGCTTTTATATATTTTGGATGCTACTTTTTTTCAGTTGTTTTTCTCATAAATAAAATATAGGGCCTGGTGCAGTAGCCTAGTGGTTAAAGTCCTTGCCTTGCATGCGCCGGGATCCCATATGGGCGCCAGTTCTAATCCCAGCAGCCCTGCTTCCCATCCAGTTCCCTGCTTGTGGCCTGGAGAAGTAGTTGAGGACGGCCCAAGGCCTTGGGATCCTGTACCCACATGGGAGACCTGAAAGAGGCTCTGGGCTGCTGGTTTCAGATTGACTCAACTCTAATCATTGTGGCCACCTGGGGAGTGAATCAGTGGATGGAAGATCTTCCTCTCTGTCTCTCCTCCTCTCTCTATATCTGACTTTCCAATGAAAATAAATAAATCTTTTTAAAAAAATTTAAAAATAAATAATACATTCTCTCAGTTTAGAGCTTTTTTTTGTACTATGAGATGTGTTTAATCAAAGTTCTTTATTCTGATGTCTTCAAATGTGTCCACGTGGAGCCAGATTATGGTGCAGTGTATTAAGTGTCTGCCTGAGACACCTGCATCCCACATGGGTGCTAGTTCAAGTCCCAGCTGCTCCACTTCCCATCCAGCTCCCTGCTTTTGCCCTGGGAAAGATAACGGAAGTTTTCAGCACGTGAGAGACCTGGATGAAACTCCTGGCTCAGCCTTGGCAATTGAGACCACTTGGGGAGTAAACAAGCAGATCATAGGTCTCTGTCTTTCTCTCTCTGTCTCAGCTTCTCCTCTCTCTGACTTTCAGATAAAATTAAAGTATCAACCTTTGTTTTCAAAAAGAGATTTCTTTTAAAGGTGGAGTTATGTATACTGAAAAGCGAGAAAGAGATTCACTCCTGAAATGGCGGCGTTAGCTAGGACCGGGCAGGAGGCAGAAGCTGCTTCTGGGTGCCGTTTAGGTCCAGGGGGGCCAAGAACGTGGGTTGTTTCCAGGAGCATGAAGCGATCGCCATACAGATCTTGCCCTCATTGTGTAAGATTTATTGTTGGCCATGTTACATATTTATTGATATTATATATGATGATCACTATTGTTCATCATTGCTTACTTTATAAATACGGTACATCTCCTTTCGGATTTTGAAAAATTATCTGAAAGGCGGAGACAGAGAGACCAAGTTCTCACCTGCTGGCTCACACCCCCAGACACCCAATGCAGGTGGAATTGGGCTGAGGCCAAAGCTGAGAGCTAAGAATGCCATCTAGGTGTCTCCTGCTGGGTGGAAGGATCCCAACTACGTACTCCAACATGGAATTTAGGTTTCTAAATCACTATGCTAAACTGTGTACCTACAACTCTCTAATTTGCATTCTTTGCTCATTAATCCAAGTGAACTTTTTTTATACTTATGGATCACTTGCATTTTTTCTCTCACAAATTACTAGTCGTATAGTGTGTCCTTTTTCTCATGTTAAATGTGGTGGACATTCCGATTGTCAACCCACACTCATTTCTTCTTCTTTGTGGTTTCTACCCACAAAGAAAGTGGCCTTAAGTCAAGAATAAATCCTGATTGATGTAAGAATTTTCTACCCCCTCTTTTTTTAAACCAGTATGGGGTGGCCCATTTTGTAATCAGAGAAAATACGAGAAAGGTCTATTTGGAAAAGTTTCCTTGCTAAGAAAGAAATAGAGATGGGTCCGGCACAATAGCCTACTAGCTAAAATCTTCTCCTTGCATACTCTGGAATCCCATGTGGGTGCTGGTTCATGTCCAGGCCACTCCACTTACCATCCAGCTCCCTGTTTGTGGCCTGGGAAGGCAGTGGAGGATGGCTCAAAGCCTTGAGACTGTGCACCCATGTGGGAGACCCCGAAGAAGCTCCTGGTTCCTAGCTTCAAATCAGCTCAGCTCTGGCATTGAGGAGTGATCCAGCAGATAGAAGATGTTTCTGTCTGTATTCTCTGTAGGGCTGCCTTTCCAATAAAAAAAAATCTTTTTTTGAAAGGAAGAAATAGAGAAAATTATGTAGTCTCTTGGTTGACATGCTGAGGATGGTAGAACGAAAACAAAATCTATGCTTTTGATAAAATAAATACCTATGGATAATTGATAAAAACTTTTCATCCTTACAACAGTCTTTTTTTTTTTAACAGAAGCCAAAATTGCTTTTCTCTCTCTCTCAAAATGTATTTGTTTCACTTGCAGATCAGAGTTACAAAGAGAGGGAGAGACGGAGAAAGATCTTCCATCCGAGACGGAGAAAGATCTTCCATCCATCGGTTTGTCTCCCGGGTCTCCCAGGTGGTGCAGGGGCTCAAGGAATTGAGCCATCCTCCACCACTTTCCTGGGTCTTTAGCATTTAGGACTGGGACTGGCACCCACATGGGATACCAACAGTATCCCAGCAGTGTGGGCTGCTGTTTAATTCTGCCACGCCACAGCACAGGTGCTCTTTCTAGTTGATTTTTAAAATGATTTGTCTGCTTGAAAGGCAGAGTGACAGAGAAAGGAAGAGACAGAGAGAGGGATGTTCCATTCACTGTTTCTCTATGCCAGATGGCTGTCCAAGCCAGGTTGAAGCTAGGAACCAGAAACTCCATCCTAGACACACACATGGCTAACAGGGGTCCAGGCACTTGCACCATCTTGCACTACTTTCATGAGCCTATTAGCAGGAAGTTGGATTAGCAGTAGAGCAACCAGGACTCAAACTAATGCTCAGATAGGAAAGATCAATGTCTCAAGTGGAGGCTTATCACACTGCACCACAACACCACCGCCCTTCTCAGTTGATTTGTAAGATCGGTGTCTTCATTAAAGATACTCACCATTTGAACGCCATTTGTGTTGCGAGATGAATGTTTTTAGAAACTTTGCTCTAACAGTTTTATGTAGGTAGGTGTTGGAGTGTTTGACGTACCTCCTCGTGGCACAATTTGGAAAAACATAGCAAAAGTCTTATTTTTTTTTAAGATTTATCTATTTTTATTGGAAAGGTGGATATACAGAGAAGAGAAGAGAGGGAAAGGAATATCTTCCGTCCAATGGTTCACTCTCCAAGTGAGCGCAACGGCTGG